ATTCGTACATGCAGAAAAGTAACGCGTTACTTGTTACATTGTTACTATTATCGTTATTTTTTATCATATTTGGTAATGACTTTACAATTTTTCATGGCGATAAAATGATACTAATACTAAGGTTAAAAAAGTCATTTTTTAAAAGTAGTACTTCTTTATTTTTTTACTCGTTTCATAAGGAGATACTTTTTTTTAATAAATAATGCGTAATAGTATATAACAAGTTATTTTTCAAAAGTAATTTTTCCAATCCTGGCTTTATCGTCACAATCATCAAAAATTATCATTATCAAATCGTTATTATAAAAAAGTAACGGTGACGACATCACAATTAATAACGCGTTACATTCTATTCTTGTGTATATGTATGAATATTGGACGTAGAAATGGTAGCCCACCATTTGGGCCACATCAAATATGACGGTGAAAAGATGATAGTAATAGAATTCTGTGAGAATAATACTCTAATGTCTTGTTAATCTTAGCAACTCAAGTGTTCGTTACAATCCTTAAATGCAGACTGAAAAAAAATGTATTGTATTATAAAATGTTCAATTATCTCAAGTCTTTTGACAGTCTCGACTATGTCTTTAAGTAAAATAGAGATTCATTCGAAGTACGAGTACAAATTTGCGAGACGCAAAATAATTGAAAGAAAATACGGAAATATTCTTTCGTATTCATACACATATACATATATTATCGCGGCGCTAGTAAAATGTGCTTCTCAGGTCACGCTTTATGGCTCTAATATTAATACCGATTCGCAGCGTTGCCCACAGAGGCTCAACATTTTACTTTAAAATTGCAAATAAGTGGAGAACGGTTGGACGACGGCGAGTATATCTGGTTCGTATCTTCCGGTCTATGTGTTAGTCTTTATAATGACGGCAACACTTTATGCACTGCCGTATGGCAAAGGGTTAAATATGCGCAAAGCGAAATATACACGTTCACATGGGCACGCTCACATGGGCACGGATAATGGGAAAACTACGGAAGCGGAATTACCGAGCTGTCCTGTTATGTGGGCAAACTATTGTATCTACGGTTGTCTCCCTTTCTTTGATATTTGCTGTCGAGCGAAATTTCGCTCGCTTTTCCTCTTCCCACGTCCCTGTTTTCGCTTCGTCTATCTCTGACTATCTGTCCGTCATCAATATTAGCTCAAAATCTCGCAGTAGTGACGAAAGGAATTGTTTATATGAATAAATCATTTAAATATGAGAAACGCCAATTACGATCAAAGTTAAATGTTAGACATATATATTATTTTAAATAAATTTTTTATCTCGGAAATATGACTGCACATTGATTACTTTCGATAAATTCAATTTACTTATTATGTCAAATTGCTTTTTATTTTAATTTTATAATATTCTTCAAAAGAAAATAAATTCTTGTTTTGAGTACATAGATAATAATGAGTTTTCGTAAAATTTAAAATAAATATTTTAAGATTATTATCAAGAAAATATTCTTTGTTAAAAATAATTGTAACTTAAAAGGAAGAAAGGAAATTATTCATTACTTTTCTTAAAATTTTCAATAGAATAATATTTTTCCGTAGTATAGAAGTTCGTGATTATTCTTACAAATTTTTTCCGCGTATTATTTATTAAATCACCGATTTATTTTGAGTCAAACTCTGTAATTTGTTCATTTGTTTGGACTAAGGAAATTTTATTTTTCAACGTCAGATTGACGTCGATTATATATAGAGACAAAACTTCCGCTTGCTCGACGAGACGCGAATACGTGTCGATATTTCGTCATTATGATAGAGTCGTCGGATTCGGCTCACCGTTATATTATTTATTACATTCGCGCTCGCCATTTTATGAGTTTCTATCCTTTCAGACTAACGCGTGCGTCGCCAGTGATTTTAATTTTAAAACTGAGTTATGGGGGTTCTTTCGGTCCGTGTATTAGGAGACAGTCCCAGGAAATTGGATTCAAATTTGTTCCTAACTGGAAAGGTTATTGTCACGGCACGAAGGGCTAAAATTGCCTGCGAGAATGTCAATAGTAATGTCTCGGCATCCGATTTTCCTGTATTCTATGTTTATTCTAATTTACCGCTTGAGATATCAGAGTAATCTTCAAGTCATCAACGATGCGCTAACATTTATGTCTGTTGACAATGTTACAACATGAAACTGGAAAAGAGTTGTCAACAAACTTTTACAGCGCGTTGATTTTTATGATTTAACTTTGACGGTATTAAAATTTTGTGACGAAATATCTATTAACGCAATGGAAAACTGTTTCCGATAGACTTATGCATTTATGGTATTGATTTGATACATTTTTACGATGTAATAAATTTCAATGACATACATTTCGCGCGTTCTACGTTTAATATTTTATAATTAAGTTGTATAGATATTTCAAAGACATACCGATATCTGAAAAAATTTATTTAATTTAACATTGAAAAAAAATATTCTGATTAAAATCAATAAAAAGGGTACACCAAGAATTACATTTTGACTGTTTTGTGTCCAGTGTGTGACATAGGCATCTCCGCAAGAAAAGTAATACAAGTAAAAAAATATATTTGAAGAATGAATTACTGTTTTGCATATATATATATATATAGGTCATGTTTCACAATTCACTGCTAGGGCTAAAAATCTATAGTTTACATTATATGCACTATAGAGTTTCAGTACTGGCAGTGAATTTGGGAACACAGCCATAATTACGTACGTAATTTTCAGATATTAGCCGTGTGGTTTATCTCAATAATTTGTATTGATATTGAGATTATGATAGAAATTCTATTTGATCTCATCAAAATGTTATTCTTGTTGACCTTTCTATTAGTTCACAATCAGAACATTTTTCTCCGTGAAATTTCAATTAATACAAATATTATTTATTGAAATATCTGACAATCAACACGTAACTATACATATATACAAACCGATGATTAATTCTCTAAACGGAATTGTACTTGAAGGTCTGATTCTGTAATCGTGTCATTTACTCCGTTTAACAAACGTACTCGTGTATGAATTTTCCAATAAAAAAGGAGGAAGACGAAATGATGTTACGGTCGTCTCAGCCCTCCACGTGCACAGGTGCGCAAGAACAACGTTTAGAAATGCAATCGTAAATGCAGACAACCAGTTATGTGTATCTATACTCACGAATCGCGATAATGTACGCATCTCATAGAACACAGCCGTATGCACGACAAGATATATAACGACATGATCGTCCGTGTGGATTATAACGACTTTGAACCCGCAAATATACTCGCGGAACATGGAAAATGCTTTACGAGTCTCAAGTAAATTTCGCGTCCGCGTACATTTACAATCATTATTTGCGTATGCACGCAAGAGTGATATTCATCTATATATTTTGCATATTTGTGCGTATTTTTCCTCGTAAAATGAAGAGAAATATCGACAAAAGATGTTTTTATATATTTGTTAGAAAATTTCTATTTATTAGGAAGGAAAATAGCACGCGCGCGCGCGATGTGATTAATTGTGTTATATATACAAATTGCACTCTATATTTATTTATTGTAATCTATTTAATTATTTCATGTCTAGTATGACATATCGCATCCCCGCAAGAAAAGTAATATAAGTAAAAAATATAAATTGTGTTCAAGAAAGAGAAGAAAGAAAAGTGCGTAAAATTTTAAAATTAATTGTTTATTAGAGTATAAATATAAGTTAAGTATATAGACATAGTTACAATTTGCTTGTTTCTCCAGAGAAGTAATGCAGAGATTAATTTTATTATTTTAGAATTATACGATATCTCTAAAAACTACCCTTATATATATTGATTTATCATTTTCTTTGGAAAGAATTTAAATTTAACTTACATCACTTTTCGTGATTAAAGGTTAATGTATTTAAAACACAATGTGCACATAATACAAAATTTGAAAAATTTTAACTTGTGCCACTTTTCTTGCAGAAATAAGATATGTAGAATATCTAAAAATATATATCTTTAATAAATATTTTAATTATTAAAATTAAGTAGTCTCATTTCTTAAAAAGCATTATTTTAACTTTTAGAAAAAATATTGTAATAAATATCTAAATTATAAAAAATTATTTGTGTATCCGAAAATTTTCGAATTAATTATAAAATATTTGATATTTTTATACACAGCAATTAATCAAATTTCAACTTCTAATGACATAAATTTCTTATTATATTTATATTATGTAAAAATATAAATGAAACTTTTTTCGAATCTTTTATATTTCAATAGTAAATACTTGCAGATATGCTGTACATATTAAACCAAAATTTTTGGGTAATATTATATTGTTCTTATTGTTACGTTCAACGAACTTCCATTCTTCGGTATTAATCATTAAATAATATTTTAGTCCTTTTTGGTTCTAGTAATACTCTTTTAACCGTTCCACTCTCCATTCTCTTTATTCACGGAAATCCATGCTCTTCTTCCTAATGTACCCACACGCACACACTTTTCTATATATTTGCTCTAAGTCCGTACTCAATGTAACATTCATGTACTTACACATACACACACACTCCCCCCCCCACACACACACACACACACGTGCGCGCAGCGCGCACCACGTTTAACCAAAAACACTGAGATTAATTATAAATGCAACAAGTGCGTTCGACTCTTGAGTTCGCTCAGCGGAGCGTCGACCTCGAGAGAGGTTTCCACTTCGTTCTTCTAACCCCTGGCTCCTCGAGAGGCCCAGAACGAAGCGAAATACCTCCCTGTTTGCGCCCTTCTCGGTTCGCTTCTTCCCCAGCTCCCTTGCGGTCCGGAGCTTGGACGTAATCAAATCGGTCAAAATTCGGTTCCTGCTGTGTTCATCTCCTCAACTTCTTGCGTTCGGAGCTTGGACGTAACATTATCAATACATTTCGTTATGTAATATTTTTTATTTTTTTGTAAATTGAGTCTCTATATTTTACAATTCGGAAAACGTTTTCTCGGAACATCAATAAAAATATATTTTCACTAGAATTTAAAGATATTTAAAAATATTTTTTTCTTTCATTCAATATTTTACGTTTTTTATGTTCTGATATCATTTTCTTATTCAGGAACTTAAAAAATCTAGTAATATATAATTTCATAAGAATTTGCAAATACATTATTTTCTATTCTTTGAATCTACTATTTCAAATTCTTACATTTTGATTTCATTTTCATATTCAACTAAAAAAATTGTTTTAAATATAATAATTTAGTTAGATATGTTCTTTTACTTAAAAAATGTCAGATGTAAATAATTTTGTATAATAATTTTGTATAATAATTTTAAAAAATTCTCTATTTCAGCAAAAAATATCTATCAACTAATTTAAAAAAACCTAGATAAAAAAGTTAAATTTTTTCTTTCTTAAAAACTGGAACTAATATAATTTGGAAGTCAAATTCTTAATTTATGAATTATAAAACTCAATATGCAAATTCATTATATTTTTCCAATTATTCATTACATTAAAAATAACCGAGTTAAAAATTGCTTGTATTACGAATTTATATTTTAAGAAGAAAATAAAGACAATCATGCTGTATGTTTGTGGAAATAAAAGATGAATTGAGATATTGGAAACGACAAGATGAAATTCCTAGTCGGTCAGTATCGGCGGATTAATACGAGTCCTGGGCATGCGATTTTTAGATTGATCATACATACCTGACATGTGCACCAACATTATCCATATGATCCCCAAAGTCTTCGACGTTGTCATGTCGTTGTGTCATGTCCTCTTTATCATATCTTTTCGTCTTCGTCCGCAGATCTTCGGCAGTTTTTGCACTGCAATAAAAGAAGGATAGTTGGTCGATCGTAGAAATATTATCAGATCTTGTGTCAACGTACTTTTGTTTCTATTGTTATATGTTTTCTTTAATATCTAATACTAACATTGCACGCATATTACATAGACAGCTAATTCTTCAATCAATGCTTTCATCTGCACAGATAAATTTTCTGTTCTTATATGAAATCAGGTGCCATCCTACCTATAATTCTAAAATATTATTTTATTTTTTTATTTAACAAAGACAACAATTATTACTGCATCACGTAATGTACGAAAAATTCTTATTCCGATATTCATAGTTAATTCTTATATTCAAGACTATCTTAAATTCTGTCTTGAGCTGTCATAAATCACACAATCAGAGGGCATTAGTGATATTATTTAAGACGGTCTTAAAATAACAATTGACTATAAATACCGGCCTTAGTTTCAATATACATGTAGGTAAGTAAAGCGCCGAAAAAAAATTCTGAATGAAAATGGACAAATCAGAGTTTTTTGATTAAATTTATTAAAATTCTAATCGGAATTCTGTTGATATAATATATTTCTGATAAAATTTTTACCAGAATAATTATACACCCAGAGTTTCTTCAAAGAAATGTTTCTTTGCTATATGATTAAAGAAAAAATTTCTTTGATTTAAATATTATTTCTTTAATTTGAATATAAATCTTCAATTTTTCTTTAAATCTTATATCTTTCTTTAAATCGAATAAATTTTTTTATTTGATTAAAAAAAATAATGTTTAAATTAAAAACATGACATTCAAATTAAAGAATTTTTTTCTTTAACTGTATAGCAAAGAAACATTTCTTTAAATTGAAGAAACCTTTCTCTGAGTGTATCTATTAGAATTCTAATTATCTTAATTAGAATTCTAGTAGATTTAACCAGAAAATTCTGATTCGTCCATTTTCCATCAGAATTACTATTTAATCCAACCAGACCATTTTTCTCAGTGGGAATAAACAAAGAGTATAATTGCACGCTGATTATAGTTGCGAAACCGAAGTTGTAAATTTATTACAGAGGCACAACGTCAAACGGATCCGAATAAGGCACGCGCAAAGAACACGAAAGATGTCGGCTCGTGAATTATGGGTAGATAATTGTGGGCTATCGTGAAAACTTACGATCGTTTTTGCGCTTGTGTATTCGCGGTATATTCAAATATGTCCATGTCGATGAGACACGCAATAAGCGGTATTCGCTTATGTGTTGGTAAAAAATATGCAGTTTTCTGAAAACTGCGATAGCAGCTCCGCGAAATATCGAACGTCGCATCGCGGATAATCTTTGATCAATTGTTATTTATCAAAAATAAGAGAGAGAGAGAGAGAGAGAGAGAGAGAGAGAGAGAAAACTGTAAAAATCTAGATAGATAATAAAAACTGTACAACAATATATTAACTTAATTAACATATTAATATATAATATATTTTGTTATTTTTAAATACATATAATCAGCAAAATTTTGCATTTCTGCAAAATCATTATTTGAGGAAAAATAAAGACGGAATTAGAATGTAATGTAAATGATCTAAATTTGATACAGAGTAAATAAACAATTAATCATATTATTAATTTTTGATTCGTTTTGAATTAATTGTCAATAGTAAAGGGAATTTTAATGGTCGACACTCAGAGCAGTATCTCCATCGGAAAAAAGTCCACTCTAAATTCCCTCGAAACTACCGCCGTCGCGATTACAACGATGATGCATAATTTTCAACGGCAAAGTGTTTGCTTTGCGCGAAATAGTAGATATTTGATTCATGGTTTTTACGAGCAGGTCAGAGCTTTGTGCGCCGTTATCGGTGCCAATTTTCGTTTCGAAAGAATTTATGGCAGTCGTAAGGCTCGCATTACGTGATGTCGAATCCTTTTTGCATTTTGATACTTTTGCAGGTAGTGGTGCGACGGCTGGCGTCAATTATTCCAACGATTCTGAGACCCTCTCCAAATCTCTCGAATTCCAATAAATCCACTCGCGCACGGATATTCCAATCTTTCGCCAGAACAGACCGCGAAATTTCGTCAACATGATCCACAGATTTCTCAAATTTTCTTCCAACTCTCATTTACAATTCATTTTTTAACTGATACAATCATTTTAACACATCCATACATAAAATATATATCTTATTTATTGCAATAATATATGTATATCAAAAATTAAAATCTGACTCAATTTTTAATATTAATTTTAAACGTCCCTTTATATGTAAATTTCTTGCATAAACGTTCTCGTTCAAAAGGGTTCAGTCGTAAAGCTGATTTTTCAAATAACTCTAATGATTTTGTATGTCTTATAGAAAAAATAGTGAGAAATTAAGATAATGAAACAATAATGATGCAAGTAAATCAATAGCATAAATCGCTTGCTGCTGCTTAAGCAAGTGGCATATGTAAAAAAAACGTGAGCAGTAAAACATAAGCAATAAGACATAAGAAGTAAGCGAATCGACCATGAATTATACCATGATGCTAATATATCAATACACAATAGTTAGCACTTATTATGATGCATTTTTATTTTCAAGCATTTTTAAGATATATTATAGCATTTTGTTACACACATATTTCCTCATTATTCTTAAATACTTGATCGATTATATGAGTATATGTATAATATATTTATTATTTAACATTTTATTTGGCTGTACTATAATACTCGTATATACGTTTTGAGTTATGCAAAATTAAATAGCATGGCATTTTACTATTGTAGCCTCCTATAAATGCTGATTGCTGACGGCGTTTTCGAGGTTTTCATATCAAAATAATTATTTTTGGAAAATCTAGAGTCGAAACGTATTTCTTTTATTGCGAACTGTTCTTATGCGAATTTTCTAATTTATATTACTTCGATTTTCTATCATTGTATTGAATTATGATCTTTTACCCACATACTTCCTGTGTCGGTGCATTTACAGGCTTTTCTTTCGTATAATAATTATTCCATGAATGGTAGTTTTACTGTCAATTTATAGTTTATAATACATATTCGATAGATTTTTAGTACTGAGCAGCTTATATGCGGAAAAACGGAGAGTAGCTTATATGTGTACATATTGTATGCGTTTGCATACAACTTTAAATGTTTAACATTTTGTTAATTTTGTAAGTAAATATTATTTTTTAGATAAAACTATTTTTTTATTTTTTTTTAGAAGATTACATTACTATTTCTATTTTTCTTTTAGCCGTTATGCAATATAATTTTTTTAATGTATATCTAAATAATAAAAGTTTTGTAAGTTTTGAGTCTAGAGTCAATTGAAAAACGCTTTGACGAATGTAATTAAGTTTTAAATTTAAATATTAATTATTAATCAAGTTATTGTATAAAATGTAAATTGGGTGTCATAATACCACCGTCTCCTTTATATATGTATCCGGTGTCATCCGGTGGAAGTTGAATTCGACCAAAGAGAAAACTGACTCGCGTTTTAAATAGCAAAAAAGCCACGTGCGCGCAGATGATGTCATTTACATATATATGTATATTTGTAAAAAGAAGATCCTTCTCTCTCTCTCTCCTTCTCTTCTTCCTCTATCTATTGTATGTATATTTCTCTTTTTATATTTATTCATCTATCTATCTATCCACCTTCCGTTCACCAATCATTTTTACATCATCGTACGATCATGAATCTTTTTCTCTCTTTTATTTTTCTTATTTTCATCTGTGTCGGCCGTATTCCAGTTCCGCTCATTGCGATCCGTTGTCATTTTCACGCATTTGTCACTCGCAAACACTTGCATGAGCATTGTGTTGACCCGATTTTTACAGATCTAGAAAATGAGGATTTTCGAAGAAACGGTACATAGAAATTACGAAACAATTTGCGAGCATCGGAAAGACTTCTTATTGCGACTATATTAAGTGTTTAGTATTATATCTACCTTCAATTAAAATATTAGGAATTTAACAATATTTTATAGATTGTTCTATTATTATATTCTGATTATCTATGCAAAATTTTGAGCACAATTTTCTTATTGATTTAAAAGCTATTTAATTTTTTATTTGTTTTGACTTTTATATAAAATCGTGTTTTATAATATTTATTTGTAATTTAAAGAAGAAGAAAAAAGTTAAAAGTTAAATTAAATTTTATACATATACTAATAAAATAATAATAAGTATTCATGCAAAAGTTTATTTAAATCCACTTATTCGTTTAAAAGTTATTGATCTAACACTAAGCAAAATATGGTTTTTATTGCACAAAATCATCATAAACCAAATATTGTTTTGCAGTTGTTTCAAAATGTATTCACTGACTAATAAATAATACCATCAAAATTTCTTAAATAATATTGGCTAATATTAGCTATTTCTGGCTGATTATTTAACTGATACTTTTAGCTAATATTGTATAGACATAACATCTTTAATCATTAATAACGCAAAAATATTGCGCACTAAAAAAAATTTGATAATAGCTCAAATGTCGAGTGAAATAATTCCAATCCAATTTTCGGTTTATATAATACAAAATAATTTTACTTTCCTAAATATTTAGTATTACCAAACCATTATTTATATTATAATATTTATGATAATATACTAAATACTTAGAAAAATATAAATATTTAAATGTTTATTAGTAATAAGGCTCATAAAATTTAAAAAACCAATAAAAAAAAGGGCTACGAGTCAAAAATTATTTTATAAAATTAAACGTCGTTAATAAACTTCTATATTAACGACGTTTTATCCCCTTTTTCTTTATTGGTTTTCTAAAATTATATTTGGTTATATTAACTGAACGTTTTATTAAGATTATTTCGTTCAACATTTGGTAATTATTACCTGCAGATTCTTTTTTTAGTACGGTACGATCAATTCGTATAATTATCCCTTTCGTAATATAATATATCTACTTTCAATATAAATGTATTCACAAAAAAATCAAGAATGACATCCTCTATTTTTTTTATTATTAAAAATCTTACTATTAGTAGAAAAAGAATTAATTGTTTTGTAAAATCGCGCTTGTTGGAGTGAGTAGAAGTTATAGTAGAATATTGGAGCGACACGAATAAACCTTTAATAATCGATGGAAAATTTTCTCAATCATTCGCATCTGATAAAAAACGGTTATCTTTTAGAGAATATAGTGATTAGAATAAGTTCTTTGTATTTAAAATATAATAATAATAAGGAAATTTCAAGGCTAATGAGAGTCAATACGAAAAGAATTGCGCATAGTTATAGATTAGTAAAATTATCTCTTCATAAAACTGATGTCTTCTTTATTTCGTAATCTTGAACGTTTCAACTCACTTTGAAGCCATCCTCAGCAATATTACATAGTATATACAATAAAATATTGCTGAGATGTAATAATAGAACAATCTATAAAATTTTTATATTTTTGATAATGCTTTGAGATGTGACAGAGATACATACATCCTTAAAAAAATGTAGTTGCCACTAACTTTATTCTGCAGAACTGTCTCTTTTATATAGTAGGTACGCGATGTATTTATTGGAGAGAGGCAGTTTCGGAAATCCGCGGAAATCCATATCAGATAATCGTTCGCGAATCATGCGGAAAGGAGAAAAAGAACTGAACAAACCTTTCAGGCGTGATAGATGACAAGCGATCGGGCGGGCGGCCTGCCGTGTGAGTGGCAGGCACTTATTATTATCGGTTATTCGGTTCCGCGAGTGCCAATATTCTGTTATGCGCAATCCGGCTTCAGTGCAGCGGCTGACCATCTAGCTGGTTGGCCGGCTGGCAACATCTCGCCACTCGGTCGTCCCTTGTCCGCTTCGCATCCATTATTCGGCCAATTGGCTAGCCAACTCTGTGTTGCATTTTTCCGCGTAGAACCGCGATATCGTTTGGCAATATCGCCATGCGCAATAAAATTGTATATTGCATATATACACAGGCTGATCCGTTTTCAGACCTATCAAAATCCAAGCTTTTCATGTATGGATCCTTCCATCAATCTCTTCCTTAGTAAAAAAAACGTCGAAGGAAAGAAAAATTACAATTTTTTGTCGCAAATTTTCGAAATCTTTTGAAGAATTATTAAATATGATAAATAGAAAAATTTAAAGAAAAATTACGCATTGCTGAAATTATATCATAAAAGTTTTGTCTTAAAAACAGAATATTAGACTATTAAATTAAATTTTGTTTTAATTAAATTTAAAATTTTTTGAAATACAGTCTGAAATTGGAAGGTTTTTAATTTCTATTAGCATTTTACCTAAATAGATCAATTTCTAAGAAATTTTTATTCTCAGTCATTTATTATCGTTCTCAATATTTTTATTGAAGTAAAATCAATTCCGAACTAACTAAAAAATCCGCCTATAGAAAGTGACTTAGCAGGTGTGTATACATGTATGTACAGTTTTTACAATTGATAACAAAAACTTTCGTACAATATATGACAAAATGGAAATTCGACAAGCCATTAATTGATGCGTGATCGAACTCGATCTATGTGCAAAATTTGAAAAGCTTTTAGTAAAAACAATTCAGCAGTCGGATCTTCATTGACTGCCATATATTGCCCTATATGTAATGGCTGATGAGTCATTACATACACCGCGTTTATTTTGTTTGCCTTATTTTTGTGCTATGTATAAAAGTTCAGCTATTGATTATGAATGTATTTAACATTAAAAATGCGAACGTGGTAGAATATTTCGTAAAATGTTCACTATAAAGGAAAATTAGCCTTATAAAACGTAAAAAGGACCTCTCACCTCCTCTTAATTATATTTCGAATGTTTCGATTATTTTTTATTTTGGATACAAAAATACTGAAGTATTTCACAATTTTTTGTGAAATATAGATACACGTGATAATTTTTTTACGCTTTTGTGAAATATCAATGCCATCGATATTTTTGCAAATAAAAATATAATTTTTTTTACATATAATATAATTTATCTAATTATTCTGCATATAAAAGTACTGAAACAAGATTTCTTGATACTAATGTAAGATAAATACTAAGAATAGTTTATTGATTTTTACGCTTCACTTCTGACAGATTTTAACGTAAAATATGAAATGAAATGTTTGGTATATTTACTTT